CGATTCATGTAATTGGTAAGTCCAGGGATAAGATTAGCTTGTCTCTGACCGCATCCAGTTGGTTAAGCAGTTTTTCAGGAGTGTCTCTCTGCCCTTCTCTTTCTGTTCCTTTCTTGCTGATTGGCTGAGTTCTCAGGCAGACTTTTTCCATGTGGGAGCTAGACTTAAAAGCCTCAAGTTTATATAACGGTCAGCGTCTGTGATCTGAAGGGAAGATGGTGCCACTTTCAAAACATAAAGCAAAAATCAGCAGAGTGTTGGTCATGTGTTTTTGCATGAAATAATTGCTTTGGTCAGAGAAAATAACACTACTCTAAGATAAGAAATGGACCACTTCTAGAGAGAGAGCCAGCCCCACCAGCCCCCAGGGGCTGACTGTGAGGAGTCTGTTGTCAGGAAGATTGAAGAGCAGTGGCATAAAAAAGATGTTTATTCCAACAGTAATCAAGGAATTGTAAATCAAAACTATAGTGGCATAGCGCTTACACACTCAGATTGGAAAACATTACAAAGTCTGAAAACACTGAGTGTTTGCAAAGATGAGGAGCTGCAGGAACACTCATGCTCTCTGGTAGGAATCGTAGGCAAGTGTAGGGGTAGTATAAATGGGCGAGGGAATGAAAGATAAGGCACAAAAGGACAAATGATAAAAAGAAATGAAATTCATTTCAGTTAACAAACACACTTTTATTGCAGAATTATTTTGCATTGGCGTAGACATGGGATGGAAGCCTCAGGTTGGGATAGGATGGAGAATGCAACCTCAGGGTTCCTGTAGCTCCCTTTACTGCTGGAGGAAGAGTGGCTTCTCCTGCACTTTGAAAGCAGAAGACAGTTTGTGTGTGTGTGTATGTGTGTGAATGTGTGTGAATGCCCATGCACTTTGGGGGGAGTGGGGGGAAATTGATCTCTGGCAGGACCCTATGAGAATTGCAAATTCCAGACGGGCCCTCCAGCCTGGCCCTGCCTACCCCTCCCTCCCTCCCTCTGCTTCTCTTCTCCCCAAGTACAATCAGAGTGCACGCCGCATGTGACTTGTCCATGACACACACAGAGCGAAAGGAAGCGCAGCACTTATATTTCATAAAAGCAGCTTCTTCTTTTGTTTCAGACTTTGTTTTGTCTGTTGGGCCAGGATAATCCTAAACCCGAAATTTCAAAACATGGAATTTAGTTGAGTGTATTGAATTTTGTTTTCGTTTTTCTCATGGAGATTTCTAATCATTTAATAATAGTCTTTTTCAAGACCTGGAAAGTACTGAAAGCTATAAAATTGGAGTTATACACACACAAAAATACATCATGATATGCTTAAGGAAAACACACTAGGGATAATCAGACAGACTCGTTTTGATCTTTGCCTTGTTTCCTTTACATCAGTACTAAATCATACCAAAAGGCTCGTGGTGATATATGGTTTTTAGCTCCTTTGGAGATTTTATTGAAGAAAATTTTCCAGTTCATGTGTTTGACTAGTTTAATGTATATGGAAAATGCAGGCAGTAGATAAATTATTAGAGTCGCTCTCCTTGTCGTCAAAACATGCCTCTGGCTACTGAGTATGACCTATAGAAGTGTGGACGGTTAAAAAGGCAATGGGACAGTCTCTGAGGAGAACAAGAAATTATTTAGTTGTTATTGTGGTATGCTCCCTTTTGAAGGATATATAAAACATTAAATCAGCAATGAACTAGAGAAAATATTGGGGTATGTATTAAACTCTTCAGTCCTTTCACGGAACCTATTATTTTGGTCACGTATTTTCTCTTTTTCCTGCCAGCTCTCGCTTGTTCTAACCCTAACTGCTTGTTTGATGTTGAAGTTGTTGGCATTCATTTCCTCAGAGATATACCCAAGGAAACATTCAGTTTTGGTATTTTAGTTCACAAGTTGGTGTTTAGGATGACTAATGATGGATAGAACTCACCCAGAGTCACCAGGTATATGGCTGTCTGGCAATGTGGAGGCCTCCCAGGCTGTGATACAATTAAACTGAACATTACCTCCCCTCTGTACCAGGAGACCCTGAGCAGGCCCAGCCTAGAGAACATGTGATACCAGGAAAATACAATGCAGAATAGCAACACCCACCATATTAGGATATAATTAATTTAGTTTCATATAGCCTAATATCCTAACTTGAAACAGGAATATTGACAGCAATGAAATATATGCTCAATTACATATATTTACTCTTTTCCATTTGCAGAAAAAAGAAAGCGATGTACAGAAGCACAATATGTTCAAAATTATTTTTTAATTTAAAGTGTTTATTTACTATCAATGCACTGCTAATTGCTTGCAATTTTTCCTTCTGTAATTAAACTAATATGTTGAATAAAGTGTAGGCTGCAGTAATAACTTTCCATATACTTTAATTAAGTAATTCTGCATGCATTTATTTCTGACCTAGAAGCATCTCTTCTACTCTAAGTGCATTTTCTTATTTGCTTCACTTATTTAAATTCAATAAATTAAGATTTAAACTCACCTTTCCATATATAAACAATAATAGTTTAGGACACACGATGTAGCATTTTTATGTTAATAAATTATCTGCTATTTGATGACGTAAGTATTGGTCCAAGAAAGGCTTTGCTAGTGTGCGTATATATTGTTTGTGTATGCATGTAGTGTATATGCATGTAGTGTATAGCAATCTAGTTTACTCCATATCATTAAAGTCAGTGGTATACTGTGCAGATCAATCCACCCAATAACAAAGTGTATTTGAAGGAAGCAACATAATATATATGTTAAGGTTTTATGTGTACAACAACTACAATATCTTCCGGGCAATTCAGATTTAATTTATGCCTGAGTTCTCCGAGGCCTCAAAACTCAGAATTCACATTTATCAACACATCAGCCCCAAGCAGTTTTTTGAACATCATCCAGCTGTATTACTGTGTTAAAAGATTTAAAAAAACAATATAACAGAATGAGACCATAATTAGAAGAAAACACTCAACTGAATACAGACTGCTGAGATAACTTTTGCAAGACCGTGTGTAGTAACTGTTACCAAGGACAATGGGTCTTTCATGGTTTTTCCAATATTGTCATCAAACTCCAAGAGGGAAGTTCTTTGCTTTAAAAAAACTGATTTTAAAATGTAATTCATGCTGTTTTAAACATGACAGCCCAGGAGATTAACGAGTTTTTATCTTACTTAACATTGTCTCAGCCGCTTTTCCAACGTTCTGTGTTGACCTGAGAACATGTATGGAGTTCAGAATAGAAGAAAAACATACACCTTCTTTTCAGAGAATTATCCCACATGTTACCAGGGTTTGGAACTAACTTCTTCACCTTGCTAAGTGCTCCTCAGGAGTTCTGATGGTGGCAGGCTGTGTGTTACTGGAGCCCAAAACCAGTGGGCTGGGACTGGCAGGAGGGCCGAGGTGGGAGTGAGGACTAAGGAAAGGGAAAGAGAGCTTAAGTCTAGAATGTAATGGCCTGACATGTTTCCCCTAAGTGCTCACTAGAAACTAGGCACAATTTTAAATTTGGAGGATATTTTGGAATACAGAGATCTCGTGTTTTCAATTCTAGACAGTTATATATTTAACAAACAGTGACAGTACATTTCTTAGTTCAGGTTGCTACCACAAAATACCATAGACTGGGTGACTTAAGCAACAGAAATATGTTTCTCACAGTTCTGGAGGCTGGAAGTCCAATATCAAGGTGCCAACAGGTCCAGTGTCTGGTAATTGGCCCCTACTGGCTCACAGACAGCCAGCTTCTCATTGCGGCGTCCTCAGTTGGTGGATTGCAGAGAGAGAGAGAGAGGGAAGGAGCTTATGTTTGTCTATAAGAGCACTAGGCCCATTTGCAAGAGCTCCACCCTGGTGACCTAATTACCTTCTAACGGCCCAACCCCCTAACATCATCGCAATGGAGGTTAAAATTTAACATTTGAATTTTGAGCAGACACAAACTTTAAGTTTGTAACATATGCAAAAATAAATGAAAAGGACTGTGCACAAAGTGTGATGTGCCTCGGTCTCTGACTGGGCTGGATTGTACCGCACGCGTGTTTCTGATGTAGGCGGATAGCAAGAAAGGATGATAGAAATGGGGACGTGGAAGGAAGATACAGATCCACCCGTGAAAAGAAATAAATGTTATGGAAATAACAACTCCTCACCCCCTAACCTGTTTGATCTTTTTACTGAAGCCCTCCAAATTCCCAAATTATTATGTTTTCCTAATATGGAGCAGGCTTTGTAATTGATGAGTATGTTAATATACAAAACTATCCAATAAATTAGAAATAGATTTTAATTCTATGCTGTAATTATATTAATATTATATTTTAATACATCAAGAAAATTATTGATTACAAGACACATTGGGGAGCACTAAAATACAAATATATATGTATATATTTGTACAAATATACGCATATATGTATACATGTGTATATACATATACATATATGTGTATATTTGCAAGATTGTGAAATGGATTCATGTTCAGTGATAGTAAAGGGTGAACAAATGTCAATGTTAGACTATATTTAATTACTCTAAATGCAGAGCAACTAAAGGTTCACACCTGAATAACGCTTTATAAGTACCTCATGATGTGGTAGGATGGGCATTATTATCTGCTCATAGAGAGAAAACCTGAGAGTCGTTCAGTCCACAAGTGTTTATTGGGATGCAACAGGTGCCAAGTTGAACACCCCATCTTCAGGCTGCAACCAAGAACAAAGGAGACATTGTGTCTCTTCGTGTGTACACAGAGTTTTGAACTGGCTAAACCCACATTTTTAGTGTCAGACATCAAGATGCCCAACCATCCTAGCACAGCACTATGTTGCCAAATTAATCTACTGAGAAGTATAACAATTAAAAATATTATTTTAGGGGTAAATGTACTGCAGAGATAAGCTAAATAACATAAGTATATTTCTCTTATCTTTCTAAAAAGTACATATTAATGGTTTCCTGCATGCCAGTTTCACTTTTAAACCTTCCCTCTGACCCTAGGTGCTGATGCTGTGGAAGCTCAGTGTAAAAGGTTCGAAGTGAGGGCGAGTGAAGACGGCAGGGTGCTGTTTTCTGCAGATGAAGATGAGATTACCATCGGGGCTGAGAAGCTGAAAGTCACAGGTACTGTAGCTCGAGGTCTTGGAACACTGTTTACCCCTTGAACAAATTACAACTGGGGAAAAAAGCCACTTTATAAGATGTGTGATCCCCATGTCTAAAATGGAGTCTCGCATTCTATCACGATGTCACAACAGTTGGGTATCCAACCGTCTTCAACAAGAAGGCCCTGACTGTGGATGCTGAGGTGAACGTGAACAGTAGCCTTTATGTATAAGTACAGGTGTGAGTCTCGGGACGGGCGGGGCAGGACAGTGGGTATGAACGGTGGGCAATAAAGTGTAGGCCAGACACTAAGTAAAGCTATCTAAAGGTGACCGACAAATAAAATTTAGAGATACTATTTAAAAGATAGGCAAAAGAAAACTAAAATGTAAACATCAACTCTAAAATGAAGTAGGGGGAAAGGTTATAAGTATACTAAATTCTTGTTCTTTGGGGCTGATACTTATCTTCAAAATATATAAATCAAGAAAAAGTGCTAATCGCTTATTATTTAGAAGTTATTAAAGTTGTTATTCTAATATTAGGGTCATAAGTCAATCAACAACTGAAATTAAAAAGCAAGAACAAAAACAAAACAGAAAGTTAAAGTCATGTTTGGGAGTGGGGAAGAATTTTATAAAGACAATTGCAAGCATAATTTCTATTGAATTATTTGATTCACAACAGCAACACATGTTTTATTGAAGTATTTTTAAAACAGCCAAAAAGGCCTACACTATTTCAAAAAAGAGAAAAGATGAAATATGCTTGACTTAGTGCTTCCCAGAGCTGGGTTTGGAAATGGCTCTTGGGACATCTGTCATGCCTGTTTAGGTCTAAGTGAGTTCTCTGGGTCACGCAGAAGAGTTAGCAGGGTAACTGGCCTCTGCTCTCCATGAATCCCACCTCTACTTCAAAAAAGATTTTTAAATCAATTTCTTTGTCTCCAAGTTTGTTTCCTTTATCTTGATGATAATGATAAATTTAGTGTTCAATTACATCAGTGTTCATGTGCACACCTGTGTGCACACCTGGATACCTATGCATTCATGTGTCTGTCTAGAATGTTTTCCACACATAATGAAGACATCGTGAAAGTTAGCTCCTTATTCTTCTTAATAAAGATAAAATTAATATTGCCAATGTTCCAGACATGAATGCCCAAGTGGATTTCAGAAGAGATGCATTATTAAATAGCAATGGCATTGAACAAGGGTTGTTGGATGGGCACCCTCATCAGTCATCCCTGGGCTTGGCCACAACCCACCACCACCATCCCCACTGACCACCCCATGCTCCTACCTTATGTCCTGCTGCACAGCCAGAACCTGTGGCATCATGTTGGTGTTTGGGGGTAGTCGCCATGGCTGCTGACGCGCTTCATTTCTCTTTTTTTGTTCTTAAAACTCCTTGGAAAGGTCAGGAAAGAAGGCATCCTGGGAAGCAAAAATTTACCAGATTGACCTTCCTAAATCCTGAGATTGGGAGAACAAAAAAAGCATGAGGATTATGGTTGTCATAGAACACAGACAGATCAGAAAGGACATTGACTTCAGGGCCCTCTGTGCTAACTTTTGAGTTGCTGGTTGGTGGAAAAGTGGAGAATGTGGTGGGGACGCACTCAGGAGGATTGGGCAGATATGATTTCAATATTTAACTGTCTTTGAACCTTGGTAGTATCTAATGGTTATCAGTTTTTGCTACCAACATAATCACGAGATAGCATTTAGGACAGGGATGTCAAACTCATTTTCACTGGGGGCCGCAGCACCCTCACGGTAACCTTCAAATGGCCAAAATACTTTTAGGACTGTATAAATGTAACTCCTCCTTAACTGTTAAGGAGTTGAAATTACATTCAGCCCTTTGAGGCTGATGTGGCCCCCAGTGAAAATGAGTTTAACACCCCAGTCTAGTATATTATGCAATTACCCCCAAATTATTTGATCAACATTCCGATATTTTCATGGGGCACTTGTATCCACAAGCGAAGGAAAGTTTCAGAGCTCTTGACAGCATTCAGCTGTCAGCATGGAATTTTAGCTTTCCCTGGTCTTTATATTACCTTGACTTACAGCAATTGCAGTGAAGTGCTGTCTTCACCAAGTTAGACACATTAAGTAGTTTTGGTTTTGTTTTTTGTTTATAATTTGAGTTGAGTGGGCACTCAACTTTTTCTTGGTATCCTGGCTGCTAATTTGGGCTGTTAAGTCAGAGGAGACTGTGCCCCTAAAAAAATCTGTTTTTCTGCTTTTCAATTAATTGCCTTAAGGCAGTCATCTCTGCTAACTTGTTAATGTTTCCCCTCTCTCTCCCCCTCTTTGTATATGTGAATGTGTGTGTGACACATGCATGGTATATACGTATACATGTGTGTAGAAGTGGATAAATACATTGTGTCTCACTCTGGCTCTCTTTTTTCCTGTCTCTATTCAAAAAAATACATATAACTTGGAGATAATTCTTCATGTACTCTTGACCGATCTATATTTTCCAACTATCTCAGAATAGTTGGAAATGATTGTGATTCCAGAAGATCCAAAATAATAAAATAATATAATTTTGAGGCCATCATTGCTGAATTCCAGCATATTTTTGTAAGGGGTTGAAGCATAGCACTTAGAACAGAAGAATGAGAGTGACCGTGACAAATAACCCTGGCTTCAACCTGTGTCCCTATACAAGTAGTATCGCGTTGTTAACAAATGCATGCCAAGTCAGGGAACATTGTCACTGCTAGGGACCCCCCCCCCAGGATCGCATCACGTTCCCTTTCCTCGCCGACGCAAACACGCTCCCGTACACACGCTCCCTCAAGGCCCTGCTAGGCCCTTCCTCCTTTACCAGAATGTTGCATATTAACTTTATAGTTACTCTCTTCCTTCCCATGAGACTTCTAAAATAAAGAAAAACAAAAATATCAAAGGCAAATATAATTTAGAATTTTCCATGCTTAGAGGAGAAAATTGGGCATAACGTAGCATGCGACTTAGGAGAGCGGGGATTGATCAGTAACCCGCGTATACTTTAAAGCGGCGCTTGGGGCGTTTGACACTCGCACTGCAGAAAGCATTGATTCCAGGGCGCTTCATGTATTAATAATCAGCTAGCGGTGCTGACAAGACTTCAAAGTTGCCTGTGACAAGAGATCTGTGTGAGATTTATTCTAGAATTTCAAATTCGTGACACACATTTTTTCTATTTAAGGAATATGCATAGGAATTAAAACAGATTCTTTCTAGCTGTGGCCTTTGCGAACAATGGCCTTTTGTTCTCCTCTTTCAGGGTGACAGAGTGGGTGCATGTATGTGACGTGCGTCTACACACCTGGGAGAAAATCACTTCTGACTGAAATTATTTATTGACTTAGTATCAAGGCTCAGGATACTTGACATTTACCCTTCCTAAAAAGTAGCAGGACTTCACCCGATGCGTGTGAATCCCCCTGGTGTTCCGGAGGATGGAAGCAGGATGGCAGGTGGTCACCAGAACACCACCACCCCTCCGGCTCCCATCACTGTGACGAGCAATCATGTGCTTGAAGTCTGTAATTTTTTACTCTCGATATTACGTGGCTTGCTCATTTGCTTACTTAAATCTTAATTTGAATACACTTATTTGACCTTACCATGCCCCTTCTCTGTATTATTGGAGATATGGGAGTTTTACAGGTTAGTGCACATATGCATACTTGCAAACTTTATTTGCATTTTGTATCCCCTAATACTGGCCAATGATATGACTTAAAGATATCTTTTGAGACCGAGTAAACAAATAAAGATAGAAACCTGTACGCTCAGAGACTTTTAAATTTAGTGCTTTCAGGCACATTAGTCAACCGAAATTTACACTTTCATTTGTGCCCCAAGTAATATATTCACTTAGAAAACAAAGTGCATATGTAAGTCACTTGACTTGACAAAGTGACAACTTTACCCCTCCCCGTAGAATAGCTTAACTTCAAATTAAAAGCTATTAGTTGGACTTAAACCTCTCCTTTTCTTCCTTTGATAGAAAGGGGAAAGGAGCTAAGTGTAGGAGGAGAAAGGATATATCTGTTTTCTGAGGCATTAGAAATTAGAACTGGCAATCAGAAAGAATAATGAATCCCAACATGCATCCACCCCGTGCCCCCGTGTTTGCTCGGAAACCAAGCGCATTGCTCCCGTGTCACCGTTCTCACTGAGTGACTGGAAAGAGAGACAAGTTCTAATGCTCGCTTGACAACAGAAGAAAGGATTTTCTGAAGAGCTGTCTTTTAAATTAAACACCATGTTTCAGGGTTTAAATCAATATTTTCTGGCTTGTTTTTTTATTAGGCTTCCACACCCTTGTTCTTGTCTGTTAAATTGGCACACTGTGAACTGGTCAGCTTTGAAATCAAGCTTCCTATTGTGTGGGGCCATTGTTCCTCGCACCTGTCTGAATGCCAAGAATGCACTCAGCAACACTCAGCCAGCGGGATGTAGCTCCTGGGCCCAAGTGCCACCTGGAGAAATGTGACTAGATCCGGTGCCAAGGAAGGGACTGTGCGATCATTAATTTACTCTAGGGTGACATTTCAAGTTCATACACTAGAGTAAATCACTCAGCTCCCTCCACTAGTTTTCCAGTCACTTTTTAAACTTACTGAGGATAAAGATTTTGGACCTCTCTATCTTCCCCGCAAATCTCCAGGTAAAAACTGATCGCAGGTTTGGAAGTGTATAAATTACGAACTAGACCTTACTGACTCGCCTCTCCCTGACTTATTTCTTAAAGCTATGATTTAAGTGTTTCCCACTTTTATTAAAACAAGACTTGAAAATATAATTTTGTAATAAACATGTGAAAAATGCCTTAAAAGAGGACAGCCCCTTTAAAAAAGAATGTGGCATGTTGACATAACATTTCTGTGCAGTGGTTTTAAAATTTTCCACTGATGTTTAAAATTTTCCCTACAGCTATGGGCCTTAAATCCCTAATATATCTCGAAGATATCATTTATCCTGCCATTGTGTAAGTGAATTGTCTGATTT